CACACCCACACACCCACACACCCACACACCCACACACCCACACACCCACACACCCACACACCCACACACCCACACACCCACACACCCACACACCCACACACCCACACCCACATCCACACCCACACCCACACCCACACCCTCAGCTCTTTCCTTTTCGAGCACATAAGAATTTCAATAGCTTTTCATGAAATTGCATGAGTGTGTGAAAATCAAATAGTTTTCAAAGACAGAACATGAATTCTCAGCAATACATTCGATTTGCCAGAGAAGTAAGTTTTCGCCGAGCTACCATGTTTGAGAGGTTAAGTTATTTGGTACGTATCGCCAAGGTATTGTGTTCGCACTTGGACACCATTAGACATCGATTGACCTTGGACAAGTCATTAACAACTGTGCTTGTTTCGGATCAACCGCAGGACAGCATAACCAGTTCGAATGTGGCATACAAAGATCTTCATGCATAATATGTCATTAATCAGTAGGTACGAGCAGCTCAAGTAATTCAATGGAAGAACCCTAAACTAGATCGATCTGTCGTCCAGGGCTGCAAAGCAAGTAATAGTTTTAGAGAAAATGTTGCTCTGTTAAAAATTTTTTCGAAGAATATATATATATTACGCGGTAGCCACACAATGGGATATTTGTCGAAACTTTTGCTGAGGGTCGATCGATGAAAATGTATTTCAAAAAGTCCATCTTGCGGAAAGAAAAAATATACATTAAATGCATGAGCTGGCTTTCTAAGCTAAAGAAAGTTATTCATATTTTTGTATTATTTGGGTGCTATTCATTATGGTCATTGAATTTCTAATTCCTGTCATTTGGCTTCAAGTCAATAGTTTGTATATAATTTAGAAATTACATGTGTGTGACAACATCAAATGGAATCCATCACATACGTTTGAGATGCAGAAAATACAGGGTGTCCTATAAGTAAGGTAACACAGTATTTTTTTTCGATTTCTTTCTTATACATGGTCAGTTAGGTCTCATATTTATATCACAGATATATCTTGAATTACTTAAATTATTTGAAAAGTTTCAGCCCTATACAATGAGAATTTTATCGGAAAAGCACAAAAATGTTTTATGTAATCATGTAGCAGTTAAACCATAATCTGCTTTTTTTTCTCGCTGAATCCGATTGTTTTTATGTTTTTTATAATAGAAGTCATTGAATCGTGATGAAAGTTTCCCTGATTTCGTTTAGTTTATTAAGAGTTTTTTGAACAAACTCCTTCGCAAAGTGCTTAGAGAAAACCTACACAAAAAGATCTAT